AAAAAAAAAAGATGTTTGTACCTTTCATTACACTTGAAGTCACTTAACTGTGAAAATTACTTACATTAACAGGCTCCGAGTGTGCCGTTTGAAACAAAATGAAACGAAATAAAGAAGTTGTTTCAAGCTGTATGAAAACTGTATCAAAGCTGGGAACGCACAGCCCTGGATCTGATTTGAGCTCCTGTGAAGGACACTCCTGCCAGATCATTACTATGATTCCCCATATCCTCTGCTCTGCATCTGTTCGCGTGGATTTGACTGGGCTTAACATGGCTGTCAAGCGAGGCCCCAACCGCTTCACTAGATGAACAGCCAGTTCCTGTCACAGATAAGTCAGTGAGAGCGCTGGAGACACAAAGGCACCCTACAGCGCTTGGTAAATTATTAATGCTTATGTGGCAAGCTGACAGTGAACAGAGGTGACACTGGGTGGTGGTGGTTGTGGTGGTGGTGAAGATTTTTAGAAGCCCCATTTCTCTGCTGTTTCACTCCTTTTCTGCTGATCTGATAGCGCTGAGTTTATTTTAACTACGAGGCAGCTGAACATCCAGAAGTGTTGGAGATCGGTGTTGGCTTATTTGTAAAGGCCCCTGGGAGGGAAATAGGTCATGGGCTGTGACCCCAGGTATGTGTGTCTCTGCAGGGGGCTTGCAGCTAAGGAGGATTAGTGGCCGAGTGCTCAGGTAGCACAAAGAGTTTTTCTGCTTCAGCAAGGATGCCCTTAATCTGCTTTGCTTCCAACAGAGTACATTAATCAGAATAGCTCCAGGTTAAACAAAAAGTTTTATCAGTTTGGAGGTTGACAGGGTTTCATGCAGAATTTATAACTACTGATGCAAGAGAAATGTCATGTTTTTATATAAATATAGAATAAATAATATATAAATATGACAGTGAAATAGGTGGTAATTACACTCCAGGAATAATAAACCCCCATAAATATTAGACAATATTTCCAAACAAACAAACACACAGACAAAGGTAATACAAAGAGGAGGTACACTGTTTTCGGGGAAGGGGTGGAGTTAGCAGGTGTCAGGGGGAGGTGAGTGATGCTGCATGCTCCATTCAGGCAGGCTGATCTGGATGTAAGCCGTGGAAAAGTAAGTAAGGCAGTCAGTGAAGATGGTTCCCCAACTATACATCACAGTGTACAATGAACAGTTCAGATCTCCAGGCACAGTGAAAAGAGCTCAACTTCGACCGACCTCTGCCCACCGTAGGAACAACCCTCAGCCCCGGGCGGTAAGACACACAGCTTTCAATACTGCCTACGTGATCTGTGTGAATGAAAGGCCGGAGTGACTGTTGGAAATTTTGGAATTTCTTTATTCTTTTTTTCAAATTTGTCTCCAAAATTAGAAGTTATACTATATCACCCTGGGTGATTCAGAAAATATGAAAAATATAGCTCATTTCAGGAAGACAGGATTATCTGAGGCAATTATACCTACTGCTCTATGCATTGTATTTTGTTTGGCTATATTAAAAAAAGTGTCCTACTAATTGACTGGTTGGGCACATTTTTCTGTGAATCATAACAGCTGTATCCTACTATTATGCAGGAATTTCTCCGTGCTTATTTATTCATGCAAGGATCATCATTCATCCAACAACTGGAGGAGGTAACCAGCGGAGCTGTTTCTACACGTGCAAGAAAAGCAACCAGATCTCACCAGTCTTAGTCATTTGTGCAAATATCTTATTTAATTGCCCTCCAGGTGGTTTCCTCCAGATTTCCCTGGGTGAAGGTGGGGTTGGTTCATAAAAAGATCAATCTTGTGGAGTCTACTGTAGCCTGGGAGCATGAGCGCTACAGCCTACGCAGGATCCTGGGCTTCACTCTGTCTCATCTGGAAGATCCTAAATCTGAACTTCGTGGCTCTATGCTAGACACCATGCAAGTTTTGTTTATGGATATTATTATTAGTAGTATTTGAAAGCATTGAGGCCCAGGTTGTTTGCCCCTATACACCACAATAGTGTATTTTAAGTAAAAGAATTAATGTGTGAATAAAGTCAGCTTTTCAGCTTTTACAAAAGGTTTACACCGACAGACATTTATTTATATATCCAGTCCTTCAGTTTCAGAGGCTCAAAATTAATTAGACAATACACTGACAAGCAGTCTCATAGCCAGCTGAGGACTGTTCCCTTGCTTTTCATGACTAATGAAGCAGATATAATATCTCAGTTTGACTCAAAGCGTTCAATTTGTTTTATAGTGTTTCACTGTAATTTTTAATATAAGACTCAGAGCGATATCAGTGGAGGTGAGGGATGCCATCATTAGGCTGAAAAATTCAGAACTAACTATCATAGAGAGAACGCACAGTATATTCTTAAAAAGGCGTGGGTCTGTGGTTTAGTTAGACCAAAAAAGGCAGCTAAAGTACATGATCACAGAATTATTTCCATGGTTAAGACAACTTCACAATATCTAACCAAGTCAAGAACCCTTTTGAGGAGATAGATCATGGATCAATCTACAATCTAAAGAAGCCTTTGGGATGGAAGTACAGAGGGTGAAAATCATTGGTTATAATAAAGAAAAGGGAGGCCAGATTACTCTTTGTCAGAAAACATCTGAAACATCTGAGCCTACCCAGTTGTGTGGGAAAAAAGTCTTTTGACAGATGAATGAAAGTCGAACTTGTCCCAGAATTATGGGAAGAGAGAAGTGCAGAGATGGATAGAAACAGCTCGTAATCTGAAGCATCTGTTAAACATTGTGGAATCAATGTTATAGCATAGGCACGTGTGGGAGACGTTGGAACTGGGTCACTATTGTTTATTGATGATGTCACTGCTCATGTAAGCAGCAGGATGAATTTGGAAGTGTACAGGGCTATACTCTCAACTTAGATTCAGCCAAATGCTGCAAAACTCATTGTTCACAGTTCAGCTAGGCAGATTTTTATCATGTAAAACCCTCTGAATCAAAGTTGAAAGCCTGCACTTCAAACACGTCTTGATTGTTTGATTTAAAATCCACCACGGTGGTGTACGTAAGCAAAAATACAAAACTGTGTTTTTGTCCAACAGATTGTTGAGTCAAGTGTATTTTCACAGGGCATTAAAAGATATTTACTCATGTGACTATCACCTCTAGGTCAAAAGTGGATTTCCGGAAACTTAAGCGAAATGGCATCATCATAGCAGAAGCGCTGGCCCGCTACATGTACAATCTCTCTGACAAGGTGACTGAATGCATGAAAACACAGCATACTGAAAATATAATAAAAAATTTTCATTACGTCAGCATTGCTTTAAAATAGCCATGTTAATGTGTCATAACTGTGTGTTTATTTTTCACAAGGGTTCACCAAAGGATGTGCAAGTTTTCAAGGGCCAGCTGGTAAGTTCCCAGTTATTTTGATTGGTATGTACAGAGAAGTGCTGACCTCTGGTGTTAGTTTAGAGACATGACACAGTGTTTGAGTCTTTCAGCAGCTTATTCCTCATGATCATCTGAAGGTTAGGGATGGATCACTGAGGTTATTTATTCAAACATGTTTTAATGTCATTTCTTAAAGATTTATATCTACATGTAACTGAAAAAGTCTAAACAGAGTCTATTTTTTAAATCATAAGAACTGATGCATGCAGAGTAGAAGCTGAGTTTTGTGTGATTTCTTTTTTCCCCTCTGCAAAACCCACATCCAAATCTGTAATTCAGGACATTCAGGACAGTCGTATCTCCAGTTTGATGTCCTTCCTGACATCAGTCCCTCGGGCTACTCAGCTGCTGGATAAGGAACCCAGTCATATCTTGCTGGTCAACTCACTGGAGCACGAATTCAAGCGCTATCTGCAGCAAGTCCACAGACACACCTTCCGACAGGACAAGAGGTAAAAAAATACAGCTATCTGAGTAGAAAGAACATCTTTTCAATCCAATCGGTCATACCACGACAACAATAATAATGATCAACAACATTTCTTCCTGCAGGGATCCTGATATTACCTTCTTTGATCAAATGAGCCAACCAATAGTCATGTACAGGTAGATATTGGTATTATTATATCTGTTTTTAAATTTTTTAAATTTTAAACTCTAATGTGCATTTTTTAATTCAGAGTGAAGCCTGCAGCCTTTGATCTGTTCCTGGGAGGCTGCATTGCTGCTTACCTGGGTATTGTTTACTACGCAATCCAGGTGTGTTAATGCACTCTTTGACGTCCATATTATATTATCTAATCATACTGTATTCCATATTTCCATGTAACTGCACTGTTTACAAGGAACTGTAGACAGTGCAGCTACAGCACTGTTTATTCGTCATTCTGCGTAGTCTAAAAGCACTACCAGTTTAAAATAACCTATTCTTTCTCTTTTAACAGAATTTCGGTTTTCTCTACACAAAACTAAAAGCAGCAGTTAAAACTAAGCACCACTGAATCCACTACGACTACGACCACCGACTCCATGACAAGCGCTTTGAAGTCAGCTCTGCACATGTTGGACATTTGCTGGGTGTGCAGCAGGAAGCCTCTTTGCATGATCACATGCATCTCATATAAAGTGGGAATTTATTTTGAAATGTAAATTTTTTGTTTGTTTGTTTGTTTTTTAAAAAAAAAAAGATGTTTGTACCTTTCATTACACTTGAAGTCACTTAACTGTGAAAATTACTTACATTAACAGGCTCCGAGTGTGCCGTTTGAAACAAAATGAAACGAAATAAAGAAGTTGTTTCAAGCTGTATGAAAACTGTATCAAAGCTGGGAACGCACAGCCCTGGATCTGATTTGAGCTCCTGTGAAGGACACTCCTGCCAGATCATTACTATGATTCCCCATATCCTCTGCTCTGCATCTGTTCGCGTGGATTTGACTGGGCTTAACATGGCTGTCAAGCGAGGCCCCAACCGCTTCACTAGATGAACAGCCAGTTCCTGTCACAGATAAGTCAGTGAGAGCGCTGGAGACACAAAGGCACCCTACAGCGCTTGGTAAATTATTAATGCTTATGTGGCAAGCTGACAGTGAACAGAGGTGACACTGGGTGGTGGTGGTTGTGGTGGTGGTGAAGATTTTTAGAAGCCCCATTTCTCTGCTGTTTCACTCCTTTTCTGCTGATCTGATAGCGCTGAGTTTATTTTAACTACGAGGCAGCTGAACATCCAGAAGTGTTGGAGATCGGTGTTGGCTTATTTGTAAAGGCCCCTGGGAGGGAAATAGGTCATGGGCTGTGACCCCAGGTATGTGTGTCTCTGCAGGGGGCTTGCAGCTAAGGAGGATTAGTGGCCGAGTGCTCAGGTAGCACAAAGAGTTTTTCTGCTTCAGCAAGGATGCCCTTAATCTGCTTTGCTTCCAACAGAGTACATTAATCAGAATAGCTCCAGGTTAAACAAAAAGTTTTATCAGTTTGGAGGTTGACAGGGTTTCATGCAGAATTTATAACTACTGATGCAAGAGAAATGTCATGTTTTTATATAAATATAGAATAAATAATATATAAATATGACAGTGAAATAGGTGGTAATTACACTCCAGGAATAATAAACCCCCATAAATATTAGACAATATTTCCAAACAAACAAACACACAGACAAAGGTAATACAAAGAGGAGGTACACTGTTTTCGGGGAAGGGGTGGAGTTAGCAGGTGTCAGGGGGAGGTGAGTGATGCTGCATGCTCCATTCAGGCAGGCTGATCTGGATGTAAGCCGTGGAAAAGTAAGTAAGGCAGTCAGTGAAGATGGTTCCCCAACTATACATCACAGTGTACAATGAACAGTTCAGATCTCCAGGCACAGTGAAAAGAGCTCAACTTCGACCGACCTCTGCCCACCGTAGGAACAACCCTCAGCCCCGGGCGGTAAGACACACAGCTTTCAATACTGCCTACGTGATCTGTGTGAATGAAAGGCCGGAGTGACTGTTGGAAATTTTGGAATTTCTTTATTCTTTTTTTCAAATTTGTCTCCAAAATTAGAAGTTATACTATATCACCCTGGGTGATTCAGAAAATATGAAAAATATAGCTCATTTCAGGAAGACAGGATTATCTGAGGCAATTATACCTACTGCTCTATGCATTGTATTTTGTTTGGCTATATTAAAAAAAGTGTCCTACTAATTGACTGGTTGGGCACATTTTTCTGTGAATCATAACAGCTGTATCCTACTATTATGCAGGAATTTCTCCGTGCTTATTTATTCATGCAAGGATGAATAGAGTTAAGAAAATTTACATGTATGTGTCCCATTTGTTCTTTGCCTCCCAAGGACTTTCTGTTTCCCAGGAGCCTTCAGTCAAACAATAGGTCAACCCATGCACTTCTTCATCCCTTGCCCCCTGTGGACTTCAGCCGCCCTCTTTTCCCCCCTGTCAGACATTTTTCATTTCACGGTCCTGTTGCAACTTGTTCTGACAGCTATCTAAATACAACCGACAAAACACAACACATGCCCCCTGTCAACCCATCAACAGTACAAGCCATGCCCTCTGCTGATAAACTGCAGAAACTACAACTGACCGAGCCTTCCCCGGGCACTGACATCCACCTCAGCACTGCTTTGAAGAGCCCACAAAGGTAAATATATTCTGTATATTCCATCAACAGACCAGAGATAAATACTCAGTGATTTAGAGTGATTCTCTTTGCAGCAGACTTGGTTATCAAAAGCATGTCCATCCACATTCAACACAGCAGCTCAGGTAGGCAAATAACCTTTGGCCTGTTCTCATGGTTCTCAGGGCTGATTAACATTATTGATTTATAACCTAGTAATTCTATTAAAAAACATTTTTTTTCTTCTTTCGAACAGGCAAAATACAGCTGCTCCGCTTCAAACAAGAGCCCAAACTCCTGCAGCTCCTTGCAGCTTTGTACAGACAAAATACCAGAGGTGCTGTTCTAACAGCAGCCGGGATAACAGGTGATTATTTAGTCGAATGTGATATATTGAAATATATCCCCATTTTTGTTTTGGTGCATTTAATAATAGCTGCTGATAGTCCTTTTTCTCTCTTTTGGTTCCTCAGCAGTGGTTGCTACAGCTGTTTCCATGTGGTGAAGCCCTACCAAGCTGGACACTACATCATACACCCAGAGTTTGTGTCTGAAAGCCTTTATTAGGATTATTAGAGCTCTGGTTTCCAAGATGGTGACCCGAAGAGGTCCACGGAGAGCCTGAGGCTACTCTCCAGCAATTGTTAACTTTTCCTTAATTCTCTGTTAATTAACCCAGTGAGACAGGTGTAAGAGTGAATCATGTAGAGTGTACAAGCACAGCTGTTATCTCATTGTGTAATGCAAGGAAACTTTTGCAGTTAAGTGCTCAATCGGTACCAAAGATCTTCTCATGGGATGATTTTGAAGATCAAATGAGGCTCTGAGGCCCTAAGGTGCTGTACGTGAGTTTTTGTAATTTTAATCTTCTGAGGAAAACGTGTGTCAATTAAAAGGGAATCAGTACAATGATACAGTATGATGCCGTCTTCAACTACCAGAGCAAATGCAGTGAAAGAGTGTCACTATCGATGCAAATAAAGGAAGCATTACCCTCACTTTGCTAAAGATCAACTCCTCACTTCTGTATACACTGCACTTTTTTGGTGACTTTTAGGTTCATCGGGTTCTTTGTGAAGTATTGCGTAATTTGCATGCAACACTGTCACATGCGCAGCAGAATGAGAAAACACAGAGCGCTGCTTTTCTGCTGAACTACATTTCCCAGGCGTTTATGGACGTATGCAGGGCGGAGACCCAGCAGCACGCTTTGATTCCTTTCACGGGCTGTTTGTGTGAACAGAAGCAAACAGTTGTACTTTGAGTCGACGGGGGGACTGCTGCTGATCGGTAGGCAAAAAAACACAAAAATAAACTATAAATGTAATTTAAAATCTAACAAACCGAAGAGAAAAGGGCAACAAGTGTGAGCGAAAATTATAGTGCACATGGATTACGTGTTATTTTTCTTCTTTCTCGTACCACCTACTAAGGCGCAAAACCAACGACTGCTCTCTATACATCGACAGACACAGACATGCTTAGAAATGCGCTGTTGTTGTCTGTAGTGCACGATTTATGCAGTTAATAAGAGACAGATATATAAGCAAAAACTCCACAGCACACAACAGTCAATTTTGCACACACGCACGAGCTTAGATTTAGACTGATGGAGGGCTTCTTTCTCATACGGCTGCTCTGATTTTATCAGCACTTCACTGTTTGTTTTTCCTCCATGTGATGGTAGATAGTGAATCAGCTGAAATGGTGCATATGAGCCCTCTTGATAATACCTTAAACAAAAAAAATGCAGTGTAAAGCTTTTAGAAGAAGAACATGCTGTACTTGAAAACTTTGAGTTTGTTTGTGAGAAGCCGTTGAAACTGGAGCAGAAAGGATTGGCCACATTTTTAAAAAAAATTTTAGCTCCATAAAACTAAGCAAAAATCATTTGGTCTACACACACGTGCATATTTGTAAGAAATGGAAAGATGTCACTGTGGCCTCTTGCACAGTTTTCCAGGATTGTGTGGATGAAACAATTAGGTACTTCTTGGTGGAAAAAACCTATTAATGTTGAACAAAGTGTTGGTTTCAGCCTGATATGATCAATATCAAATCACAAACTGTCATAGGTTAACTTCTTAAACCCACCCTTGTATTTTTCCATTACAATAAAGAAGAAATAACTCCTAGAAATGGTAAATGATCTTCTGACTTTCTTGGTAAATTTCCTAACTGGGTCCAGCAGCTTGATTGAATCTCAGAGCTACCAGCAGTTAGTTCTCTGTTAATTAATGATAGGCTTATGTTATCACTACTGCTGTTGGGGGAAATCTATACCAGGGCTGGTTGAACACAGAATCAGTCAATTAGATTGCTAATTAATAGCCAGCATTTGTTTATTATCGACCCCTGCTGCCAGGGCAGAGCATGAGCATCAAGTGTAGTTAGGACTAGTGAGTATGTAGCTGAGTTGGAGAGGACTGAACTCCGCTAGATCGGCTGTGCATTCTTATCAGATCTCCTCTGATTAGTTAAAGCCACAATAACTAACATCAGCCATTAATTAGTTTACCCATAAGAGTTTCTGCCTTCCCTTCGCTGGGAGGTGCACTACAAATGGATCTCTGTCTGTTTTCTTTTTGTTAGACTTGTTTACTCTGCTGTCAAACTTGCACCGGATGATGTGTGGGTTACTTGGAGTTTTGGTTTGTTGGGCTTGATAGAACACAATGTTTAGTATTCTTTACTTTCCTTCCTGACATTGGCAGAGGTTTAAGGCCCAAATCCCCTTTTCTGCTTCTGCGCCTCCTTACATACAAATGAGTATTCTTTCAATTTTGAACTCATAGGTTAGAATTACTGCTGGGAACATCTACTTATTTTTTTTATGGGTAATTGGCAGTAGATTTGTTTGGTTAAATCTCAAACACATCTTTAAAGTTTACATTCTGACAGCCTAATACCTTTAAGTGCTGTGAAATCACTTTGTTCAGCAATGCAAAGCATGTAAGACAACCCAGGAAATGTAGTGGAGGCTTTGAACTGACAGGGAAACAAGAAGGACTGAGAGCACCGATGGGGCTGGGGTTGTTTTCCTGGAGGTCCTTTGATAGTTTCATTGGTATATTCTGACTGTTTGCTACTGAAAGAAACATGAATGCACTAAAACACCTGCACATTTTTCTTATAAAGAATCAAAATAGTAATTGAAGTTTGATTTCCTCAAAATACTGTGTTAATATGAAATCTACAAATATTGCATCGTCACCAATTTTTTATTTTTTTTAAAAGACTGGTATATCGTTGTCATGGCAGGAAGAAAAACAGATGTGACAAGCTTCCAAGTGTCAAACAGAAGAGGTTTCCTGTAAAACATATTGATGATCTGTGGAAAAGCTACTTTGGGATTTGCACATTGAACAGCACAAACATGTACCAAGTGGTGCCAGGTGGAGCGGGGGGCACAATTACAGATGTTATCCCCAAGCAGAAACTCAGCAAGGACACTCGACCCTTAGTTGGAGCTGGAGTAATCGGGCTAGTGCTGGTGATTGCAGCTGTGACTGCGTGGTGTTACTACATAGCCTCTTTACGCAAAGCGGAACTGCTTAAGACTGAGCTGCTGGATCTGAATAAAGATGGCTACATCATCCGAAACCAGGGAGGGTCTATCGTTTTCAGAATGGATTTCAGGTTGGTATTTCAATTTATTTTATTTATTTTTTTGCTATTTAAGTTTCCATATGCAGAAAAAATGAGACCTTTAGATATACAAATCCTTTATTTTAAATATGTACTGAACTTTTTGTCATTTAACAGAAATGTGAGATTTGTGTAAAGAGATAATGCTTATAATTATTTTTGAATCTTGACAGGTCAGGAACCCTTGATTTAGACTCCTGCTCTAAAGAAGGTGAGATTCTGAGCTGCGTCCGCACCACAGACAGAAAACTGATTTTTTTCATTGAGACAGTACGGCCCAAGGATACTGTCCAATGCTACCGTGTGCGCTGGGAGGAAGTGGTTCCTGATATTCCCGTAGAGCATGCAATGACATACAAGTTTGCACACTGGTATGGAGGCGCAGTGTCAGCAGTTCAACACTGGCCTATTTCTATTTCTGGCCAACAGGCTCCAAAACCATTTGTTACTAGTGACATCTACTCGAATCGTGATGAGTTTGGTGGAATTTTAGAGAGTTACTGGATTTCATCTAATGCCACTGCCATCAAGATCAATAACTCTGTGCCCTTCCATTTGGGTTGGAATGACACAGAGAAGACCATGTACTTCCAAGCACGGTATAATGATAGTTCCTTTAAGCCAAACCCAGGGGAGATGCCATGTGCGGAACTTAGCTACAGAGTTTGTGTGGGATCGGATGTAACATCCATACACAAGTACATGGTCCGCAGATACTTCAACAAGCCAAACAAAGTGCCTGCCGAAGTTATGTTTCGCCATCCCAGTTGGTCAACATGGGCATTACATAAAACTGACATTGACCAAGAAAAGCTTTTGACATATGCTGCGAACATTCGCAAGTATAACTTCAATTGTAGCCAAATGGAACTAGATGATGGCTATTCCCGCCACTATGGGGACTTTGAGTTTGACCCAGTTAAGTTCCCCAATGCCTCTGCTATGTTTCATAAGCTGAAGTCAGATGATTTTATGGTGTCTCTCTGGATTCACCCTTTTGTTAATCATGATTCAGAAAACTTCCATACCTGTGTGGAGAGGGGATTGTTTGTCCGAGAACCTACAGGCCAACTGTCAGCCTTAGTGCGTTGGTGGAATGGCATTGGTGGCATCTTGGATTTCACAAACCCTGAAACCCGTGATTGGTTTGCCTCCCAGTTACGTTCACTGCGATCCAGGTATGGGGTGTCCTCTTTTAAATTTGAGGCAGGAGAGGCTAACTACTTACCATGGAAATTTAAGACTTTGGAATCCATTCGGGACCCGAGTATTTTCACAAGACGTTACACAGAAATGGCAAGCCTGTACAATGACAGAGCTGAGGCGCGCAGTGGTTACCAGTCCCAGAACATATCCTGCTTTTTCAGACCAATTGACAGAGACTCAGTTTGGGGGTATGAGTTGGGTCTCAAATCTGTTATTCCTGCAGTCCTCACCATCAGCATTCTGGGCTACCAGTTCATTTTACCAGATATGATTGGAGGGAATGCGCATGTGAACCGCACATATGGAAATCGTGGATTACCTGACCGAGAACTTTATATCCGCTGGTTGGAGCTATCAGCCTTCATGCCCTCTATGCAGTTTTCTATTCCACCGTGGGAGTACGGTGATGATGTAGTTGAAATTGCTCGGAAATACACCGCCCTCCATGAAAGTCTTGTGGCACCAAGGGTCCTGGAGCTGGCCAGCGAGGTGCTGAGCACTGGGGACCCAATCATACGACCAGTGTGGTGGATTGCCACAGGTGATGAGACAGCCTATAAAATTGACTCCCAGTTCCTGATTGGGGATGACCTCATGGTAGCCCCAGTTTTAGAGCCTGGAAAGCAAGAGAGAGACATCTACCTCCCAGCTGGCCATTGGAGAAGCTACAAGGGGGAGAGATTTGATATCAAGGAACCATTGCACCTCACAGACTATCCTGTAGACCTGGATGAAATTGCCTATTTTCTTTGGGTGTAGCAGGAGGTAAATAACAGTCTTGATTATTTTACGCTCCGATTTGCTTGTGGGACAAGCTTCACAAGTCCTTTTATTGATGGATGGGTGGATGGATGTTATATGGACAGATTTGTGGGGGAAAAATGTTTTTTTTTTTTTTTTTTATAGAAATTAAAATTTTTAACAGCACATTACTTTACAAATGTGAACATTGTCACTCAAAAACATTTAAAATCTCATCATCGCTGATTTTTTTTTTCTCCCCAATTTGATTTAAACTAATAATTACAACATTGTCTTTAGTATTTTATGGTATAATGAATCATAGCTTAGTGTCATTTAAACTGAAATCGTATAACTTCTGGTGTCTGGCAGAATTAATCTTGTAAATGGTAAAATGTGATAGACACCGATCTTTTATGTTTGTATGCTTGCAATATTAGCCAACAGTGGCCACCATAAGCTACTTGTCTTACCAGATCTAGCAAGACTAATGTGTCAAACCACTTATTATTTTACAGTAACGAAGGTATGTTTTAAAACGCATTAGTTAAGCATATTTTTGTGTGTCTGTAAGATTTTTAAAACTATCTGTGCTGCTTTAAGCCACATACTTGAGACATTTGTTAAAAAGGGGATTTACTAACTGTGAAAGAAGTTAAGCTTAATTGCCAGTGAATGCTATAAAGTTGTTATTTGAGCCTCGCAGCACTTTGAATTTCAGCTTAAGCCAAACAGACTGTGGTGGGAGGACGACTGAAGGGGTGTCGTTATTGGATACTTCTCAGGAAGTTATCTTTAATGCTTCATTCGTTAGAATCAGTGCTTGAGGTTTAATCATTACAAAGTGCACAGCTCTCACTAATGCAACAGCGAGTCATGTAAGCACTCTTAGACAAGAACGAGACTCCTTTTTATTAAGCTTTGAATGTTGTCCTTTCTGACTCAGGTAATGGTTTTCTCAGGCCGTCTGAAGTATCTCGCAGTTCTTTTAATGATCTTGGCTAAGCTTGTATGCAGCTAAAAAGGCAGTAATACTTTCATGTCTTATGCAGTGTTTGCCACGTCCAAAATAATAAGCAGTTCTGTAGCATTTTTTTGGTATAATTTAAAAAAATTAAAATGATAGGTGTTGTAAATTTAGTGTAATTTAATAATCACTTGTAATGCTACAATGATTTTATTTTTAATCTTGGTTTGTTTGATTAATTAAACGGCAGTGATGTGCCTGTTATTAATAACTATTTGCAAAGTGATTATTAGATTTTTTTTAAAATGCATTTATCACAGCCCTATTTTAAAAGAAATGTCAATACAGAGTAAAGAGAATAAAAGAAGAGAATATTACTATTTGCTAATTACTTCAGGCCCATATTTAATTGGAGGTGGTAGAATGACACTTCTTTAAACTAACTGGACCAAAAACATTGTTATTGTATCAGTTAATGCACATTATCTCTGCTATTCAAGGAAGAAAAAAAATATTAAGCAAGATCCACACACATCACTACTTTTTTTTTTTCATTTAAAATGAATGAAGACAAGTGAAACCTGTCCTGTGTTCTTGCCAGTCAAAATTGTACTCATTTGCCTATTAGCAGGGCACAGTTTAAATGACATTTTACTCAATGCTGAACACTGCATACAGTTTTCTGGGCAATGTATGGCTTTTATTTTTATTTTATTAATATTATTTTAAGGGAAGGCCTTGGCTATTTCAGTAAGATCATGGAGAGTCCTGGTGCTAAACTGGCCTGCCTATACTGGAGACCAAGGTTTTGAGCAGCTGAAATTATGTGTCAGGGGAAAACAAAGACAAAACATTTTGCTTTTAATTTGCATCATCATTTGGTCTTCTGAGTTCAAGAAACGGGGTTGATAAAAGAAGTTGCTTAAAACTATTGCTCAACTGTTAATTAAAAAAAAAGATGTATACAACTCACAAGGCGCAATTTTATATAAATGTATCTTGCAGTTATATAAATATTACACAACATCTGAACTTTTCTGGAAATGGGAATGTATTGATTGTGAGGTAATATTTGTGATGTGTAAATGGGTTGAAGTGTAACGTTAATGTTGCAGAACACGGTGTCTTTGCTCCTCAGGCTTTTCTATCATTTTTTTCACTATGTAGCTACAAATGTCCATTTATTTATTTTTCCCCCCAACACCGTTATAGATCAAAGTACAGTATGTAATATCATGTATGCTATTATCAAGAGGTGCAACAGATATTGATCTTCTCGTCAAACTAGAATACGTTAAGTAACATATTCCTCTGACTGGCATATCAAAGGCTATCCAAGAACCCAACCGTGTTATTGGTTTTGTCTGTTTCATTGTCATTTGTTTTAAATTTTGACATAAATTCAAAATCCTTTTAAAATTGAATAAATGGATAAATCAACTTTAATGATGCTCCTTTTTGACTTCCTGTGGATTAATTTAAATATTCTCATGGTTTCTGTTTTTGACCTATTATGGGTTCATGCTGAACTTTTGCCATTTGAAATGTAGCTTCTATGTTGACATCCACTGAATTTTGTTTTTGCCTTTTGACATCACAGCTGTTCTACCTATTTATAGCTGTTCTCACTTAGCATCTGGGCCAAGCCAATCTCTAAGGCTATTTCTGTCTAAGACCATCTTGCCACATAACAAGACTGAAAGCTGAATCTTTGACTGAAGGTTTCTTCTTCCCCAATGTGAAAGGGCAGCATATCCAATGCCAGTTTGTATGAATGTACAGCACTGTGTAAAAGTCTTGAGCCATCCCTCATTTATTTATATTTTGCTTCCAAGGAGTCAGACTTGGTTTCAGTCCAGTCCTTGTGACTGTTTTTCACTGGAATATATTTTTGTTTGTTAAGCCACTTGATTCTTATAATTCTGACTTATAATCATTCAAGCACAAAAAAAGCACATAACTCAAGGGATGCACCAGTGTTCACTACACAGACAACTTGGCATGAACCGAAAAACAAAACCTTTTTCTAAATTGTATCTTTAGGCACTTTGTTGCTACAGCTTGTTGCAGAAAAACAGAATTTGTTGAATATATGAAAAATGCCAAAGATAACACAGGCTGACAGGCATAAAATACATTTTTTGCAATAAGAAAAAAAGAAGCAACTGGCCTAAAAAATTACAGCAGAGTGTCTAAAAATCATGTTCTTAAGAAATAGGAAAAGAATCCAGACCTTACACACAACATGAGATGCATCTGGCCTTTCAATTGATCCATCTACTTTTTTCTGAAGGCTCATCAGAAATGGTCTCAGTTTAAGGGGGGTTGTCAAGAACCCATCCTTAAGCAAGTGGAACACAGAGAAAAGGCCGAGGCATGGTAAATTACACAAAAACTGGGATGAAAACCAGGGGCAGCGAGTCTGATGCACTGATGGATCACAATATGAAATTTTCAGTTCAAATTGTCAGTATGTATGGAGTAGGTCAGAAGATGTACAGCAGTTAGTGTCTGCAGAGCAACAACAGAACAACTGCTCTGTCATGGTTTTGGACTGCAGTTCATCCAATGGTCTCAGGATCTTGGCAAAACTGATGCAGAAAAGCACTGCCAGATTTTGATCCACCATGCAACACCATCTGGAAGGTATCTAATTGGCAGCAGCTAAAAACTTGACAGTGATCCCAAACACACTGACAGTACAGTAAAAGCATACCTGGATAGATAAATTGTCCTCCCTAGAGCCCAAACATCAACATTTTGACGCAGTGTGGAATAATTTTGACATAAAACAGAACAAAAGGCAGCCGACATCCAAAGAAGAGCTTTGAATGTCCTTCGAGAAGTATGGAGAAGTATTTCTGAAGACTGCTTACCAGAAAGTTTAGCTGAAAGAGTTCAGGCTGTGTTGAAGAAAGGTGGTGCAAACTTGCACATTAATGCTTTAAAGAATCCAGGCTTGTCATATTTTGTGCTTGAAGACCTTTTGCATGAAAAAAAAAATCAATATTAAATTGTTAGATATACCTGACAGTTGTTTTTAATCCCCCAACAATGCCCGTCTGACTTCTTACACACAAAATAAACAAAATCTTAAGGATACAAGCATGGAAGAAAAATAATGTGAAATTTAGGTCAGTAAGCTGACCATGCAATCAGCAAGCCAGTAACAACCTATAACCTCTTTTAAGTCTGCAATACATGAAAACTAATGTGCTGATCAGTTCAATATTGAAAGAGACACCCTTGAGGGACTTTTCCAACTTTTTGAAACCTGCTCATCATGGGGCAATAATGACAAGGTGATGAAACCATTCTGCGGGTTATTTGGAGGCTGTGTTCAGATCAATAAATCATCAGGTGGTTCATGATGTGAGGCCAGAGAGCAAGTGATATAAAAGTGTATGACTAGACACCAAGAATAAGAAAGATAAACTTACTACACTGTGAGATAGAAGCCACAATATTTATTACAATTATGGCATAAAACACGACTGCTCTTTCTGAGTTCAAACAGTCTGGCATCTCCATTCCTCATAGCTAGAGTCGATCTTTCATATGTTTTGGGAATTTATTCCATTTCACAACAGCGGGATATGCTTCAGAACTACTTCGCTTTATTTGCCAATGTCTCATCTGTCTTCAAAATTGATCTGGACTTGCAGCCTGTGCAGGGAGGACATACATTCATTGATTAGCTGTCTGTGCGCTCCCCGGATCAATATTATTTGTCAGTGTTCTTTCTACAATCATATTGTTTGGCTGTGCCTATCTTTTCATAGACTGAACAATAATTTATGTAAGATCTTTAGGAGCTTTAGGACCATCTGAGAGATTTCTGGGAGAAAGGTTGGAAAAGGATTAGAAGTGGAGATGCTTGTATGCAGAAGAAATACCAGTTTAATGAATTATCTTAAGACTTAGTTCAGTGTATGGAAACATACCTTTTAAGGTTTCCAAAAGCTGTGTGTTTATATATTTTTAAAGATACTTAAATGTTGTTGTTCACTGTATTTTAATTAAAAACAAAAGGAAACAGATTTAAACAAAACAAGCTCTCTTAAGAGCTTTTAATCAAGTTTCTTCCGACAGTAAAAACGAACCTAGACGTGAAGACTGTTTAGGCCATGTGCTGCTGCGGTTGTCCAGAAGGGTGCAGTGTAGCTTCACTGATGATACCTTTTGCTGACATGTCAGTGGACCATGGTCCAGATGTTGCACCTATACACACGCACACACACACACACACAGAAGCGTTTGCACACATGAGCAGACGTGCGCGCACACATACAACGAGAAGGACACAAAACTGGCAGAGCCCTCCCCCTCTTCCTTCTCCACCTGTGAGCCCACCTGTGTGTCCATCTGCAGAGGAGAGACGCCAGTTGTTCTGGTTAGGAGCCAGTGTGTCTCAAGTACCTTCCCATATCCTCTATAAGACTTCAGTGTGTCTGCTCTCTGTCCTACGCAGCAAAGCGCATACTATTCAGTATAGATTGCGCTCTGTGTATTAAATCAAAAACATCTCTCTCACAGAAAAACCGAATACTTATAAAATGTTAGACATTCCTTGGCTTATTACATCCAGTTGTTGAGAAAATCTGGCATAAAGGACATTACATGAAATACAATTAAGTTGGAAAATTGTCTTTTCCCCCAGAAATGTTTGCATATATTGTTGAAATGTTATTATTCGACTTACTGTTAATTAACCACTACAAAAAAAAGTAATTAATGAATCGTATGTTTTATACATTTCTAAATAAGGTCACTCATTCACAAAAATAATTTTAGGTGAACGTACTTTGTCTGAATTATTGTCAGATCACCCATAGTAACCGAACTGTGGAGGTGACAGTGACAAATAAGCCTCACTTTTATTAAAAAAGCGTTCTGGCTCCTTGGAGCTAAATGTGGAATGAGCATTTATCGTAGATGACCACAGGGGAAATAAAACCTCATGGCCATCTCTTGTGTGAAGTGAGAATCTTTGTCCTTAACCCAAGATTTTCTCTCCGTAACTAGAATGACCTCGCATCTGGTGTTGCCACGGCTTGTCTGACAGGAATATGTCTGTCCTCGCTAGGTAACAAATGAACCCAACACCCCAGAGACTGGTCTCGCATCTGTTTATCTTTTTCACCTGTCTGTTCGATGCACTGCATCAGGCTGACACTCCTCTGCAGCCTTTGTCGATTTCAGAGCATGCCTCTGGCATTACAGGGACATAGTCAGTGCTGATAGCAAGATTTGTCAGCTTGAGGGTTGATGTGATAGTGGAGCACAGTGTGCAAGACCAATTATGTATTGAATAACTTTAATAAGTTAATATACTTCATGGCACTTCCTTTTTTTCTGCTTTCTTTGGGATTTGTGTTACGCACTGAATCAATAGACGAATAACCATTGATCATATAAAACAAAACAACTGACAACACCTTTAGCTTCACAGTACTGATAAATAGCATTTTAGCAGTGTTCTGAAAAATACATTAAGCTCTTAATGGAATATTCCTATGTTTTAGTATACTGTAATAAATTATTGTGTAATATCTGTAAGAAAATAGTGACAGAATTGTCTAATTAAGGAGTTAGGTGAAGACAGCCGACAGGGCACCTCCTCTGTGCCTCGGTGGGGCTAAGAGGTGGAATGAATTGTCTAGCATGGCAGAACGTATGCGTTATTGAAACACTGAGTCGCCGCTGCAGCCTTGCACAAGTTTGTTTGATTGATACTGTTTTAGCACACTTATGTCCCCTCACGCTCATGGGCTTCACCTGAGAAGAAACCAGGGGAGTGGGAAAGGTGCTTAGGTGGCTCATCTAGGTTTTGGAGGAAAATTGGTGCCATCCATCAAATAGTGCATTTAACAAATGCTAACGCAGGCCTGACCAGCAAAGGATTCATATATGAGGCAGCGAACTGGGAAACATGTGAGGTGCAGGCACTGCTGAGGGTCTATCAATCAGCCAGTCAGCTCCTTTATTTAACAAGCAAGGGCCATAGACCCCAAGGGCCACACTCCATATTCTGGCTGGTTGGGCATGCAGTCTTCTCCTGTAAAAGGAAGAAAAAAGGGGAACAGAGGGATGAAGGGAGGAAGGAAAGAGGTACATGAAGGGATTGGGGTTGGGGGGGAGAGAGAGAGGGAGAGGGTGATGGAGGTGCAGAAGGGTTTGGCCTGTGTCCCCTGGTGTGCCGGTGCGCTTCATCTTCTCAGTGCAAGGGGCTGGAACTGCTGCTTGATGGGATTTTCAGCCCTGTGGCCTCCGCTGTCCCAGCATCCATCTGGAGGGCTGCCGTGTGCACAGCAGAGAGCCAGCCACTCAGCGACACAGCCATAAAGAACAACCCGTAGGCCAGCCAATGCCACTGATCTGAGGCTCGCAGCTCTGTTCAGCGGACAGGCCAACACTCAGTGGCACACATTCCTGTCAGAGACACA